CTCCAGCCTGCCTTAGCAGCATCAGCCAACAGCAACTAACTCCGACAGTGTTAGTTGCCCGTCCACACCAGAAGCTACAGAGGGAATGCACTTAGAGCCATGCTCTCACAGCAACAGCAGCTGGGTCAATAAGCATGCCAAAAGAGATTCATGCTGTGACACTGACAAACCCTCGACAGACATGAACAGATACACAAATTCAAATTAGGGTGTCAGTTGTTTTGCAGTGACAGTCAGTGCTTTTTCATTTTTTTTTTTTACCACTTTTACATGTTCATATTCCGCTTAATCAACTTAAATGCAAGTTTAGTGCTACATTGGTGGACAATATTTATTCAAAACAGCATTAGTAATGTTTTATATTTAAACTAGAAATCCAATTAATTTAATTAAGTCAAAAATAGTGAGGTAAAAAGAAATCCACAGTTAATCATTCATTATGTCTGTATATAAATATTGGGTTCTCTTGGCATTTACTGCACCTATTTTTCTGTTTAAAATGTTGCCCTTTCAGTTTGTGATATATTGTTTATCTTTGCAACAAATTGAAGATAGTCATTAAATTCAGAATATTATGTAGCATTACTGTGTTAAACAGCAGGTATATCTGAAAAGACTGCTCCTGTGTCCTATATCAAAACATCAGAAATCATGTTAATCACCTTTGCCTAACCTAACTTACTTCAAGTTGTCTGGTTAAGCCAATAATAAAATTTTTTCCTTTTCTTTTTTGCTAGAAAAAAATCATCTAAAGCATGACATTACATTACGGGTCAGATATTTTCTTGCCCTGCCTTCGTTTGACCTATCACAGATGTGGTTTGCCCTTTGTTTCAACAGTATTCTACAACAGCTGAAAAGGATGGCGACATCTGTGTTACTCTTTGTCTTTGATGTAGTACTTTTGGCAGTGAGCTGTTTAAATTAAGGTTGACAGGAGGTTAGGTGCATGTTAACAAAGCAGACAGAGGAGGAATGCCCTACTTTTGGTGATGACGTGTCCTTTACTCTACCATCTGCCTTACTTGATGCAGGCATGGCCCCTGGCTCCCAAGTGGCTTTGTTCGCTATATCACATTAATAGTTCAAAAGATAAACATTATTTGTCACTTTTAGTTAAAAACATGTTTTTTTACATTTTGGATATCTTCTGGAAAAAAAATCTTTGTGAATATCTCTGTAATTTCAGCCATTCATTCAAAAATGTACAGTAGTTTCTGTTTTTGCACACGAGAAATACATCCTAGGTGACAATTGCAAAGCTTCTCCATGTTTAGGCAGGAGTGGACTAGTCTAATCAAAGGTTTAAACATGTTTTTAAAGATAATGCTGATGTTTATGCAGGAGACAGGATGTTTTGTGTATCCCTTTGCAGGCAGAGGGGGCAATAGGGCTTTGTTGTTTGTTGCAGTGGCTTTGAACATGAAAAACATTTCTCAATAAAAATAAAAACCTTTTTTTTCAATTGGGATCAATCACCATTTATAACCCTTTAGAGACCAGAACAATGAGTAAAATTATTAGTATTCATGAAGGACTGAAAATCATGACACTGTGTATGTGTGTGTGTCTATGTGTGTGCACGCATGCATAGTCTGAAAGGCGGGGGTCTCACCCTGAAGCTTCTGTACACATTTGCCTGCTTTATGTCTGTCTTCGTGGAATGTGAGAACTATTGTTGTCCCTGCTTTTTGCTGTTTTTGATCATTTTCTTCTCCCTGTCATATTACCAAACAAAGCAAGCCCCTGGAAATGGGCCCCCTAAATGGAACACAGCAATTATTAATGTAGTCTAATAAGTCTAGAATATGTTTTTGATATTATGAAACAGGTACAATGTCAACATCCTCATTATCATGGTGCATAGTGCTCAAAATAGGCAGACGTCTCTGGCTTAACATTATAGCAGCCTGCGCTATTGTTAGATGTACAGGGAAAATCTGGTTTTGAGTTTTTCTGCCTGTCATGGGAAAACCTCATAGTAGATCTGTGCAAATTAAAGAGTTGGATATGTGTATCCCTTTTATTTATCAGGTGTCAGACTTTCTTGATCCATGTCAACTGTTGAAACAACCTCAGAACAGTGGCATATTGGTGAGTGGCAGAAAATACATATAAATATATTTTTGGTTTTAGAAAAGTTAGAGAATGGCAGCTGTATATCGTTGCAAAATGTTGCCTGTATTTACAACACATACAACAACTTTATCATAACCTTTAAATTCAAATACAAACTGTTCAATAAATAATAATCATTACCATCATTATCAGTGTGGCTATTTTAAACATCATTACAATAACCCTATCTGTATTTTTGGTGTTTGAATGGTACCACCAGCCTAAATAGGTCCTCTTTTTTCTCTTTTAGTAATGATACCCAATTTATGGAAGCCCATATTTCAGTGCAATCAGCACTTCACTGTGTGCTTTTTGTGGTGTACAACTAAAAATAGCCCTTGGGTGGAGCGTAGTAACACAAAAAGATCTATGATTGGAAAGCATGAAGCTTGTCTGTGAATTGTAGCTCGATGCTAAATGAGTGAAAATAGAGACCTGACATGGACGTTGTAAATGAATGGCCACTGATTGCACCACGGTCAAGAATAGCTGAGGTTTAATGAAAGTCCTGTCTCATTAATGCTGGTCCTTTGTGCTTTAGTGAATTCTGATTGCTTATGCATGCATCCCAACTGCTTCCAATCGCCACTACTCTTTCTAGCATAAAATGCTTACCTGTGGTTCGTAGTTTGAAGGCAAGTTCAGTCTCAAGACAGGACAAAGACACTTATTTACAACTAAAAATAGTCAAGATTGGAATTTGTGTTCTTTTTTTGTTTCTTTTTTCTTTGTTTTAATGTGTAAAATTCACCTTAATTTAAACAGTAAAAAGTCATGTTTTCTCTTGCTGTGTGACTGTAGTTCATAAATCATGCATGTTCTGGATCAAGGATATTGTCATACTCTGAGAAATGTCATTTCACATTCTTCTCATTCTAAAAGGTCAAATATGCCTTGGTCTGTTATTCTCATGTTATCTAAATATACATATATATATATATATATATATATATATATATATATATATACACACACACACACACACATACACTGCTAACTAAGAAATGTAAGAAATGCTCAGAAGCTGTCTGATCTATGAGATGCAGCTATTATGAGGAGCAGGACAATGAAAAGTGTAAGTGTCCTCCTCTTATTCGGCTGAAAACATGCAATTTCTTGAAGCATCAGTTGCAGCATCTTTTGGAAAGCCTTATTTCTAACCATGAGAGCCATACCTCATCCTTTCTGTCTGTTGAGACAATGGTTCTGCACTGCAAGCTGGCTGATGTGTGGAGATCTCCCTGCTCTTTTCTAATAAGGCTTTACATCCAGTCATGATAGAAGAAGTTGATCCACTGGGAGAAATAAATGCTATGGCTCTTATGAAAAGTTAAAAATCCTTTGACAGACATTGAATATTTCCAGTCCCCCAGTGGGTGCTTAATGTGGCAGCCCTCTGAGAACTCATTATGTAAAATCAATTCCTTTCAACACGTATCCCATTCTCCCCGGCATTCCAGCTTCCTGCAAATGTGAGCATTAGCTTCCATACAAACAGATCCTTTGCTTTGTGTGACGAGCGCACACATTCATATGCTGACACATACTGTACACCATCTGCAATGCTCCTTCTGCATCAAGAAGTTGATTTATATATGATAGTAAGAGTTGTATGTAATAATAGCAGAAAATGTAGGAAAAGCAAAACAAACTCAGTCTTTTAATTCTCTTTTAAGCATTATCAGGGGTATGAGTTATACTGCAGTTTTCTTAGAGGGGGCTGGAGGCAACGTAAGGGCGGTCAAATGAAAAACTTTACATAATGTTTTTCCAAACATGCCTGACTAAGCCTTTGGCCCTGAACAATGTGGTTAATCAAATTTTAATGAGAGATTTGGCGGAGAGGGAATCTTTCCCAGATTTCTTTCTCAGCTAAGAAGAATAAAGTCCTAAGAAGAAAGTGTTAATGTTATCATATTCCCATTTATTACTTCCCATTCATTTCCAACTCATCTCTGGCTGGAGGATCTTATTCATATAGAGTCTTTGGTGTACTGTAGCTGTGGAAGATCTCAATTATAAACTTGAATTAAGATGAAACAATAAACCCGCAGACACACCACCTACTTCCCCAAAACTATTATATCATAATCATGCATTCATTATATCAATATTTAATCAACATCTTTACCTGTCCCTATTGTGACAAGAACTTTCCTGAAATGTGTAAGAGGTCGTATTATGCTTTTTGGAATTTCCCTTTCTTTTACTGTGTTATATATTCTTTTTGAGCATGTAACATGTTTGCAAATTGAAAAAGTCCACCCCAAATGGAGTTACCATCTCCCACCAAAAAATCTGCGTCACCCCCCTCACCCCCACCCTCCCTACTGAATGTTAGATACCACAGTTAAAACATTACATATACAAATTCATAACTTACCACTCTGAAATGTCTTGCTCCAGTCTGGGTGGGAAGATGGTTCGGGTTGTTCTGGCTGTGTTTCGGGATCATGTACGGCTGAACCAAAGCTGTGGTTGCTGACTGAAGCAGCTTTCTTTTGGATCACACTATCTTGCTTTTTATGACCTGCCCTGCTCTGCTTCTGATTGGCTAGTAGTCCTAAACTAGGTGCAACTCCCAACAAAGATCTAATAGAAGTGAGATGCCTCACAACAGACAGGGTGAAAAAAGACCTCTTTAATTGGCAAGACAGCAGTTTAAGTTACTCCACTACTATCAAGAAGATCCTCAAATTAAGTTGACCGGTAAGTGATACTGTCTTTCAGCTATTACAGTCAATGATGTTTTACAGGACTCAGTGGAGATAATGTCATTCGTTTTGCCTTTCTTTAAGTGGAGAGCATGCACAAGTGGTGTCCTTGTTCCCCTTTACTTTGGTACTATATGTTATATGTTTTACCTTCTTTCCCTCTCCCAGCTCTCCTTTCTGCCGGCGGCACCCCCCTGCTGTTGAGGCTGTGGTATGAGCTTATGTGGCAGGAAGGCGCTGACTTTGCTGAGCAGCGTGTTCGCTGTTTGCGGCCTGGGCCTGCTGGGGATCGCGGTGAGCACCGACTACTGGCTCTACTTGGAGGAGGGCGTCATCCTTCCCCTCAACCAGAGCACAGAGATACGCATGTCCCTCCACTCTGGCCTCTGGAGGGTTTGCTTCTTGGCTGGTGAGTTAGTATGAAATCTGAAACATATATTTTAAACTCTTCATATGTTTTGTGTGTAAAAATCTTACTTTGTAAAGTAACTAGTAAGTGAAGCTGTCAGATAAATTTAGTGAAGTAAGAAGTACAATATCTCCCTCTGAGAATTAGTGGAGTAGAAGGAGAAAGTGGCGTGGAAAGAAAATACTCAAGGTAATTACAAATAAAGTACCTCCAATTTATACTTAAGTACAGTACTTGAGTTAATATACTTGAGTTACTGTCCACCACTATAGAAACTGTATTTTCTCATTTCAGTCAGGACTTCCATTTTATGACGATTTTAGACAGTGTCATGTTCAGAGACACAGCTTTATGACCAATTGGGTAATGACTAATTTCATTATAATCAGTGGTAAATAATAATTATGATAAGGAAGAAGTTAAAATGGCAAAACTTGAAATCACATTTTAGATGTACAATATTTCAGTTTAGATATAGAAGTAAACTCCACAATCATTCTGACCATTTAGTTCCAACCAGATGGTCCCAGTGAAGGATAAAATACAAAATGATGGCCCAGAATTAACAAGATGCCCGTACAGACAGCAGTTATTCACTAAGACATGTATGCAAAGGAACTTCAGGCTCAAACAAAAAAACAAACTTTCCACTCAGTCACCATTGTTTGAGTGAGCTCTGTCCTGCACTGTGGATCTGGGCCTAAAGGTCTAGTATGATTTGTATTGCACATGTACAGTCACCATTGTATCTTTCCTCTTTCTTTCCTCCTCTTTTGCATAGAATAGAAGACAAGTACTTGCATGAATATTCTAACTTTGAGTTTACCTCTGTGTGGCGATAAGACCAGTATGTTTCCTGCAATCCACACTACTTTCATTCTAGGGTGCATCCTTGAATGTATCAAGTGTTTTTATTCCAGTTGAATGATTGGTTTTGCTAGATGTCTTCCCTCATGACTTACCCAATGACTACTCTTCTGTGGCACCAGAGGCACCTTGGACTGATGCAGAAAACCCTCAATTCCTTTTTGTTTTTCTGTCATTTTGACCTGCATCGCTTTCCCACCACAGCAGTCAACGTGAATAACAAGTATTACAAACAGTCAGGCAAGATAAGCTTACGTGTTTGCACAGTGCATGCTTGCGTCACCTTTCGGCCTTTTAAAACATTGTTCCTCTCCAGCTCCAACATCACCAACGGCATGCGTGGAGGTGTTGATTGGAAAAAAACACTAACTGTTAGATTTCATTCTTTTCTTAGAGAAACAACTCTCCAGACAAGTGTTGTCCCAGAGTAAACCAGGTATCGACTTTTGCTCTTACCCTTTGCCCCCTCTGGTAATGGCAACAGCTAACTGTATCAATATGCTGTGTTAATCTTGTTGGATGTGTACTCTAGGTGTTCAAACTAAAAACTATGTATGCTGTCATGTATTGCACTCATCTGTTTGGACCCTTTTAGAAAGCTGGACCTAAAAAACAAAAATAAAAGCTTTTGTTCTGCAAATATACCTACTAGTTTTTTTAGACTGTAATATTATTCCGTATACTGTTGAATTGTTCCATTAACTCCTGTACCACAACCAACCTGCTCTGTCCTGTTCCATCATTCAGCCGTGGCAAATATGTAGGCAATTGTTGTGATGAAGTTTCCTGCCATGTGGCAGGCCGTTCATACAGTGTAAATGCACTAATGGTCCAGTGAGTGTTTAGAGGGAATCGAGTGGCCTTATTAACTGCTCTGGTTTAACCCAGAAACAATTACTGCGCACTACAACAGTATGTTGTTATGCCAGAGAGTGTGAACAAGGTTGCATGGTGTTTTGGCTGGTATTGATATTGCTTCGAGTTCATCGGGTGTTGAGTTGTTAATGTTTTGTTCCAGCGTGAGTTCATGTAGAGGACACATACAGCCAGCACTTATAGTCTTTCATTGTGAGTTGGATGTTGTTTTATGGCATTGAGTAAATAAGTTGAATGAGGCTGTTTTTTTTATTTTTAGCATTATCTACCATTCTTGGAAATGTTTTGCTTGTAATTTCTTCTTCATAAGTTTGAACTCTGAGCCTAGCTTTGCAGTAGTTGCTAGACAGCATTATTAAAATCACATTAGTATATATATTTTTTATCTATTCCACCATAAATGTTTTTCATTGCAAGTCTGTAATAGCAGTGTTACCGGAGTCATTCAAGACTGACATAAAATGAGCCATTATGTCTGCTCTGTGAAAGCATTATCAACATTTTCTCTAATAGTAATTATTTCCTACTTTTATAGCTACATTTGAATGGACTGAGAATGGAGTGGATGAAATCTAAAAATGCATTAAATGCAAGAGTGCATGATTGTGCAAAAGGACATAGTTTTTGTTCTTCAAAAAGTTAAATCCACAAAGAACAGAAACCCCCTAATTTTACAAATTGGCAGTGTTACATATTTTACTCTTTATGCTCCATCAATAAGAAAAGACTCAGCCAAAATACTTTAGGTGTGTACCTGTCTGCATTATTAGTACACGCTGTAAGCAGCAAATCATTATAATGCTTAAAAATAGCATTTAATGTTTAATTTTCATACTTATATTTTGGACCTGAACCAACCCTCAGTATGCAACACACGACATGCATTGTGGAAGCTAATTACATATACTAAACCTCAAGATATCACCTAAGCCAACACCTCACAGTGTGTTGGGTTAATGATGTGTTGAGAAAGACATCAGTTGCAAGAGTGTGGATGTGAATTTCTGTGTCAGTGTGTTTTTGTGCCAGACACTGTATGTGTCAAAGGGAAAGGTGCTAAAACTGAATGCTGGGTGTTCCTCGTACGAATACTGACAGCAAAAATTGGTTATTGTATGAAACAAGTTGTTGATTCCATGTTCCACTGTGACATTCTGTTGTGAAATTGTGTGACACAGCTATCACACAGTTTACTCATGCCATCACATGAAAATAATAATCTAGTTACTGAAAGCTTGATATTTGTGATGTGCAGTCTTAACCCTTTGCCAGAATAGGTATCATCATGACTTCTATTAATCCTGCTAGGATGCTACATATGCTTCTGTGTTTGACTTTGTCACAGTGGGCTAATTAACAGTGTGTAGAGTTCTGAACCCTGTTTGCACTTAATATTATGTGAAATTTAATTGTATATTTGTTTCCTTGTCCTTTGTTCCAGGGGAGGAGAAAGGCAGATGTTTTACCATAGAGTATGTGATGCCCACTAACGTCCAGATGACATCTGAATCCACTGTTAGCGTTCTGAGTAAGTAACTTTGTTACACTATACTACATGAGCAATACTTCAGTTTGGTGAAACTGTTCAGGCCCTCAGCTTTTAGTTTGAAATGTTTCAATATGAACCAAGGTCAGGGCAAACAGGGTTGTTGTAGTAGTAGTATTAAAAATGTTGTGTAAAACCTACCTTATCTCAGCTCCTATCATGGGCCACGAGGGCCATTCAAGCTAACTTGTACTATCAAGTAAAGCAGGAACAAACTGTTAAACTAGATGGTTTAAACTATAAACAATGATTTTGGTAATTAGGCTCTTAACTAGCTAAGTACTTTGTGGTCTTTTGTTGACAGATATTATTTCAGTCAGGACAACTTTCATCAAAGAAACTGATATTTGCGCTGCAGGAAGTTATGTTTGGCAATATGGCTCTGTTCACCTCTCTGACCTCCCCCGTGCCTATGTGGAAAAGTCATAAGGCAGAGAGAGCACCTCCCTGCCCATTAATGTGCAGACATGGAAAGCCAGAGGCAGAAAGCAGCAGTAAAGACCCCCTGGGTACAGAACAGAGCAGGCAGGCAGGCTATAGCGGCTTAAAAAGGCACCTTGTAAGAGAGGAATGAGCTGAGCTGTCAGCTGATGTGGCTGGCTTTATGGGTGTCATCAGCTACTGTGCTGTGAGCTGAGCTTGACTTCGTTGCCTGCCTGAAATACACTATGGTTGATTTTTTTGTGCAGCACATTTAGTGGAAAGTCATACGTCCATTCCCTGAAATCTGATTCTTTCTTCTGATCTATGAAAGTGGCTCCAGTCTGCCTGCTAGTTTCAACTCAATAGTTTGTTTGTTTTAGTTCCTGCAGCCAACAAGTGATTGGTTAACAGGATACAGCGATGCCCAGAAGAGCATACAATAACACAGCGGAGAGCAAAACATTTGCAGAAGAAACCGGGATGGGGGACACAGTTTTAGCACACTCACAGGTGTGACATTATGCATAAACACTATGGGAGGCTGCTTGGATGATGTTTTAAAATTTGAAAGATCGGTTGACAGACTATACGTGCATTTACCCACCACTACAGACCTGGAAATTAAGTTCCAGTCTACAATGTAGTCAAATGAAACAAATTGGCCATTTTCATTAATGGGAACCCAGTGCTGCTAGTGCAGCTGCACTAGACTTCTACCATTTGGTTGGTAACACCATATATCACTGAGGTAGGACATATCTGTCTGGGGCCCTCCCGAGGCCTATGGTACTGTAGGGTCAGTGTTGACAGGTCTGACCTGAGTGCAAGTCATGTGACTTGAGTGCACGCCTCTGCAGTATGCTATCCCCTATATGGTTTGTGCTATTCCTGGTCCAGACTCCAAGGCTAGTCCACTCAGGAAAAGGATAAGAGCTGGGTTTGAATGAAAAATTTAGGGGTGCCATTTTCATTTTGTAGAGACACCCTGCAGGGTGAACACGCACGGGTACACATAAGTACTGGTAGTGTGCAGACAAGAAGTCGGATCTACACAGAGTGATGCTGTCAAAACAGCCACTCCAGATCTCATATGCATCGTCAAACTCCAAACTCACTAACTGAAGTATACAAGGTCAATGGAAGTTAATAAAATTCCTCTAGCTATTTTCCAAAGATCTACAATTTCAACTTTTTTTGAAGTACTGTAAAGAGAGAAACAGAAAAAAAGAAGAAAGGTGACAGGAGAATTTATGTAAAGATATGCTGGTGAAGAAGGAAGAAGAAGTGACAGAAACTTGAACGTGAAAGAAGTACAGTGAGTGAAGAAATGTACGCGTGAGAAAGAAACAAGAAGACTCCCTGAAGTGAAGAAGATACCGGCAGTAAGAATGTACGTGATCACAACATTGATAAGAAGAGTTAATTGGCTTCTTTCTAAAAACATGATGAAAGTTAAAATCCAGAAAATAATGCCGTTGAAAAGTGTTTGTTGTCCGATGGTTGTTCAATGAATTAAATTATACTTCCAGACACATAATAAAATGTAACTATGAAGGGATAAAGAAATAGTAATTCAAATGCACACGGCATGAAAAGTTAATACAGGACCTGTTCAGGTTTCATGGCTTTGATGTTTTGATATATGATGGCAGAATTCCTTTCTCTTATCATGCAGCTTTGTCCTTAATACTGACACTTAAAAGCAGCATTTATGTCATAGCGTATTTTTGCCGTAGCAGCACCTGCCACTAGATCTTTTGCCATCATTTTTATTCAGAATGGAAGGTTTTCCCGAAATTTGCCCATGTTTCAGGACTCAACATGAGTCCTATTGACTTTGTTTTTTCATTTTAACAATAATGTTGGATAGCTACATTAGATTGTAATAGGCAAGTTTACTTCACGATCCAAACTTTACCCAGCTAATTAAATAACCAGTTCCATTAAGGTTATGACCTTAGCCATCTGGTCCACTTAGCTGGAAGGGAACTTGTGTAATGGAAAACACAATGGCGCTCTGGAAAGAAGTATAATAGACTTGCTTTTCTTCTGGGAGGTACTGTACCATTTGCTCTCAGTAGGGAGGTCCAGCTCCATCTTATAAATAAGGAACCTAAACCTAAACCCATGAAATGCTTATTTAACTACTAGCCACAATGGAAAACTTCATGCTGCATGCTTGCTCTAAGGGGAAAAACTCAAGTCACTGGAAATAAATGCACAAAAAAACAAACCTGTGTGCATTAGGAGAAATTTGTAACGGCTGTATAATCAGCACATCTCAAATCAAATTCAGAGGAAGCCCAGGTTCCTAATTCAGCTCCAAACAAACTATCAGTTTTTCTTGTCTTCTCCCAGAGATGATCCGTTCTGCCACGCCCTTCCCTCTGGTCAGCCTCTTCTTCATGTTCATTGGTTTTGTACTCAGCAACATTGGTCACATCCGACCCCATCACACCATCTTGGCCTTTGTTTCTGGAATCTTCTTCATCCTGTCAGGTACATGGCTTCATATCAGTAGTAGTATAGTACTGTATAAAAATACTTACAAACATGATGAGTGCATCTGAGAAGGTTTGACAACTTTTTAAATATACATAGTTGTCATGTTACGTTAGTTGGTTCAGGTCTAATCTGCGTAACTCACAGCACAGCGAAACAGTTACTGTTTCACTAGATGCGTGGTTAGTAATAATTTATGGCAACAAAAGTAATACCAATCATGTACCACAAATATGTTTGTGTGAATTGAATCTCCTTTTCTATCCATAGTGATTACAGTTTTATCTTTCTGTATGTGTGTCTTTGTTTCTCTCTCTCTGCCTTCCTCAGGTCTCTCTCTGGTAGTTGGTCTGGTGTTGTACATCTCCAACATTAATGATGAAATGTTAAACAGAACCAAAACTAATGAGGCCTACTTCAGCTACAAGTACGGCTGGTCATTTGCCTTTGCTGCTATCTCCTTCCTGCTCACTGAGGTAACTTCACGAATGCAAGTATGTGACCTTGTACCTTGCAAAACTTGGATTCACAAGCATACATCAAAACTAAACATCTAAACCTTTCTCAACGAACCAAAATCTGAGTCATGGGCCTGTTTCTGCTTGATATCAGGATCTATATCAACATGAGGAAGATTTTCTCTATTCTCTTATTCTACATCAATTTTGGCTCAGTTTGCTTTTGCTAATTTACATCTCTCATCTGTTGCATTCGTGATTTACTGTACATTTTAGGCATTGAACAGACGTCTCTCATCCTAAAGTCACCCTTATTTGTGAGAGAGACGTAATCTATCCTTGCTCACAAAAAGACAGACAGAAAATAAATGCATCAAACATTAGATGTTCGCATATTTTAGCGTCTTTATTTCAGCAAATTCCTTTCCTTCAGATATGAACAACTGTAATGTATTGCTTTGTGAGAAATAGTGTCCACAAAACACAATCGTTTAGGGTTAATTAGCTATGATTCATATGTTAATGGTTGATAATGGAATCATTTACACCAAGCAGTGAAGGTCTGCAAGTTGCTTTGGATGCTGATGCAGTCATTCAAAATAATCTGACGTCACGGAAAAGGTTGAATGTGCATTTTTTTGTGAAAGAAGAAAGAGTGTGTATTTGTGTGTCATGAATACATTCAACTAAGCCATGATTCATGTGTTCACTGTAGGGGGTTGTTTTCTTCTGATGGTTATAGAGCAAAATCAGTATTCACTAAATAAAATCTGTGACTTGACATTGTTTTATGCAATTCATGAAATAATTAATTCTAATGGTGGAAAATTGTATTATGTGTTGAGTTTAAAGTGACCTGAATTTTATGTTGTAATGGTGGTGAAAATAATTTTATTATCTTTCCATTGACAATACAATATGAAACAAGGGCTAATAATGGTGATCGTTATTGGTGACCACCCTCAGAATGTTCCAGGATCTAGTAGAAAAAGTTAATAACAGAAGTATAGTACAATGATATTACCAAGAGTAAACTTTGCACCTCTTTGTCTCCATCCAACCAGACAGCAGGTGTCATGTCGGTGTACCTCTTCATGAAGCGCTACACAGCAGAGGAAATGTACCGGCCCCATCAGGGCTTCTACCGGCCTCGCCTCAGCAACTGCTCAGATTACTCCGGCCAGTTCCTCCATCCAGACGCCTGGGCCGGGCGTGGTCGCAGTGCCTCCTCCATCTCCTCTGAGGCCTCCCTCCAGATGAACTCCTCCCACTACCCTGCTCTCCTCAAGTGTCCAGAGTATGAACAAATGTCCTCCTCACCTTGCTGAGGCATAGGATGAGTTGTTGTGTTAGCAGTGTAGGGGTTATTTTGATCTGCCTGGATTTTGGCATAAAATTGTCCAATAATTTGACATTATCCAGCTTGAATCACTCCCGTCTTCAAGTGTCCTGACTATGACCTGAGTCTTTCTACCCTTACTACTGCAGATTCTTTTATTTATGGTTCTGTGGGGAGCAAAACTTTAGTTGAAGGTTAGCCAGTTCACTTTATTCTCAGCTGACCTGTTTTGTTGCAGGGAGAATGGTTAGAAGAGGAGAAAGGAAAGAGTTTGACCAGGTTGTACTTTTATATGCTTTTTCTCTAGTTTGTAGTGACAGGTGACGAGCAACCTGCTGAATGGACCGAGGTAGGGCAAAGTCATCTGAAAGGAGTAACTTGAGTAGCTTCAACCTGCAGTGAGCAAGTCCACTACATTGCCTCTGGTACCACAACAATCCTGATAGCTTTTGGACAGGATGACACACTGCATATCTGCAGACATGGAGAGTTCGGAATAGGGTTTACAACTCAATTATGTGCAATGGCTGCAGAGTCTGCAGGTTCTTAAAACCACTACACTACTACAGAATGTGCTTTCAACCAGGAAGTGGAAACTAATCAGTGAAATCACCTTGGCGTAGAGGAATAATATGGATCACAAAACATTTCCTCCATTTGATCATTGCTCAAATTGTGCAGTCTTTGGGTTTATAAAGGTTAAAATAAAATTGTTAAAGCTCCTTTCTTCTACAAATTGTACATGTGTACCAGCTGTGTCAGTCTGCACAAGTATGTTTCACTCACATCCTTAGCTATCCTTCCTTTGTGAGGAAAATAGCTTTCTGTTGTATTACACTGTAAGTGTTCTATTACACATCACAACTGTTTCCCACATGTTTAATGTGAAGTCGCGCGCTAGAACTCAGCTTGAGCTTTTTCATATTCAAGTCTCGAACTTAGGAAACAGATAATGAATGTGAATTTCAACCGCTCAAATAGATCATTTAAATTGGCATACCATTTTATATACAAACTGTTTGACAGATTAGAGGCTGGAGGAGTTGAGTTTATGACAGATGGTATTTGACCTTCCATAAAAATCTATTTCTGTATGGTATTTTAAAACTTTACAGATCACACTGACTTTCAGTTACCAGAAGTACATGTAGTCCCCCTTTAGGTCCTTTGCATAAGAGCCATTAATTATTACACCACAGGCCACAGGTGTTTTCTGAAACTGAAAGTGGGAATGCTTCACTTTTTTGTGTTTTCATTGATCCCATTCAGTTGCACCAAAGGAAAGGTTTGTATTATAGGCTGCCAGTCCAGACATATGAGATACATTCTTTTTAAAGGCTTAAACATGAATATATTAATGGTTATATGAAAGTTGAGTGTATTATTGTATATTCTTGTAAAAAAAAATCTGTATTTGCTCTCACAACCAATTGTTAATAACAATACAGGACTGCTTTACATCAAGTGTTTTAAACTATACAGATGTATATCAACCTTTTATATTCTCAGAGAACCTATGATTCCTGTGTACAGTGGTTTCCTTAGTTAGTCAAGCAGTTAAAGACAAAAAGATGTACTAAACTAATCTTTAAAAAGAAAACAAGCTGTACGGGGACAACACTGTTTGATTGTATTTATCCAGTTAGAGTTATAAAACATTTGTTATACGTTTAAATGAGAAATGAAGGCTAAAAGGGATAAGACAGAGTTTGGGTGGTCATGGTTTTGATGGAGAATGTGAATGAGTCAGGTGGCACAAAGACTATTTTGCTATGGAGCCATTGTGAATGTAAGATGTACCGAAGGAAACACTGCTAAATGAGATTTGTTTGCATATAGTAAAATACCTCTCCTCCAAAGATGTATTTAACGAAAACTATAGATACATATTTTTCTAATTTACCCCGTCATAATGATAGAATATTCTTAGATGTTTGAAATACAAATATACTGCCGTCCTTAGTGTGCCAAGGAAATAGTTGTATCCAGGTTAAGTGACTTAAGTATTGAATATATACATTTCATGCAGCAAGTGTGAGTAAACATATTACAGAGAAACATTTTGTCTTGTGCAATAATTTTATGTTAGTTTGATACATTACTAAAATTTGAATTTTTGTCTGTATTTAATGTTGCATGGTGTGAACTCCACATACTGCAGTATTCGCCTGCAGTATATGTAAACAAAACAAACATACATAAAACTAATACACACAAACTGTGCCAGGCAAAGCTAAATTCACTCTCACAAGCACTGCTTTGGTAAATAGACCAGTAACATTTTGTTTTGTCAAACACTGTAAATACAAAATCATCACTGTGTATATAGATACATTTTTTTATAGACTGCAGTGTCTTTTTTGTGTTGTAGATTCATCTGCAGTGTATGTGATAACTGCTTTGCCGCACACATCACATTAAGAATGTGAGCTTTTGCATAATGTTATACTTACATAAATGTAAAGTATTAAGATGGTGTCATTGTCAGACATGAAATGTCAACATCTGTGTATTTTTTACAAAGTAATTTTCATGATGTTAAATGTGCAATGGAATAAGTATACTCAATTAAATAAAGTTTAATGGGATTTGATAAACAATACTCTTGTTTCTTCTATACCTGTTTATGTCTCTGAAATATCTGTATTATAAATTAAACTATTCATATTTATTGTGCATGTGTCATAGGCAGATTGAACAATCACTCAGTATCTCTGTAAGTAAGATCCAATTTTTTGTCAATATTTATATTACCATTTCTTTTTCATGGTTCCAGGGAAAAAAATGAAAATTTATATTTTGTATCACAAAAAAAACTCAGAAAGTAAGAGTAACTTATAAAAGAGACCACTAAAATAGTAAAGCATTGTAAATAATTGTATGAAAATAAGTTATATACTGTAGGGTTAGTGTTATTCAAGAACATAGGACAGTAAACAGACCTGAGACAGTGGATACATAAGCTTGTCATTGCTATTGGGGCAACGAATGTATTGTGCTACAGTGAAAAATAGTCCCAATCATATACAAAAAAACTTTCAGTAAATTACAATTTAAGGTTAATGTCTAGCACGATGTCACCCTTTGTTGGGATAGAGTGGAAATATATATCAATGAGATACTGTATAGACAAAAAACAACAGAATATAAAATATTAATCATGTTTATTTTCTTGTTTTTTGGAGTTTGGTCAAGCAACTAATGAATATTATATAATAACGTACACTGTAGTGTGGGGCTACACTTTACATGAGAGAAAAATACATTGAAAACAGAGTAAATTCTCTCTAACATAGCTTTTCTCTCAAACATGATATATGAGGTCAGATCTCTGTCACAGAGAGTTAGACACAGAGCCTGTGTGAACCCTGTACAGCTCTGACTGTGAGAGCTGTCATTCATCCATATGGGCAAATGAGACGTTACAGGGCTATCAGAGGGATGGAAACAGCTCATCTGCATCATGTACTGATGTGCCCACAAACTGAACGAGCAGTTTCATCTATTGACCTGATGAGATGACATTCCCAAATTGATTATTCCCAACAATGAAACCATCTATCCCTTCCATCCATCGTCAACCACTTATCCTGCGTACAGGGTCGCGGGAACAATGAAGCTATGTGTTGCAAATGTCACTACACATTTTGTGGTAGACTCTAATTTAAACTCTGAATGGTCCATGTTCTGCTGTACCATGAATAAAATTAATCGTTTGATAGTTGCTGAATCAAATTCTTCTGTCCTTCAGAAACTGGCTGCAGCTGCTGATCGATGGTCGTGTATCTTTTGACAACAGCTCCATCTAGTGTAATTTCTGTAGAGACACACAGCTTCCCACCAGTAATTAGTGTTGAGTTGCATTTTAAAAATTGTGAAGCCTCTCATTGTCTTTATGTTCTACATGTGCTACATGTAAAGACTCCAAATTCATCTTCAGACTGATTTGATTTGATTTTTTTATTTTATTTTGATTTGATCTTAACTTTACCATGATACAATAACAAATACTAAATAGTAGTATTATATGCTGACATGCTTTTAGACAGTGTCTTATTGAGATCTATAAAGTAGAGGAGAAATAACACAACAACAGAATAAGACCCAGGGGTGAAATTAGACACACAGAAGTGGGTTTGCTGCTTTAATTTTGAAGCTGTTACTTGAACAAACTTAAGGACAAACAAGCAGGGAATCAATTCCATGAAAGACGTCACTAACAAGCACCAAACACACACATTGTTCATTTGGGCCATGATTGGGTCTGTGTACAGCTAGCCGCACTGGTCCTGAGGATGAGTCAGTATGCTGTTCACTGTGGAATCAATCACTACGTATGAGTATGTTTACTCATTAAAGCTGGAGAGACAGAAGAAGAATACAGAGAGGAGAAAACTGTTTTCCTTCTGACTTTTTACATCTACAGCGTCACACACATCACTGCAGCTGAGAATACATGTTGTTCAAATGGCAGACTCACAGAAATGCATGTACTTTGGTGATGATAATAATGGTGATATGATTAGGTGTTTGCATGTGTATATTTTAGCATTTGTATGATGAGGATGAAGAAGATGGCAAAAAAGTGTGTCTGTCCCGTTAGCTGAGGTAATGCCCTGGAGATGGGAGAAAAGGGATCATCAGAGATATAGACTTTTCTTTCTTTTCTTTGTATTTTTTTGCCTTTATTTGAGAATGGACAGTAGAGAAATGACTGCTGGGGATGTCACGGTTTGTGGTCAGCACCTCATACGCTCCAACAAAGACTTTTCCCAACAACACAGCACAGATTGCGTTTCTCACTGCTGCAACATTCCCTCCCCTTACACAGAAAAAAAGGAAAGCAGAGAGGTATGATGGAGATGTAAACACAGCTGAGCATTCTTGTCAATAAACAATTGTATTTAAATCTAATCTTTAAGAGTGGGTTATCTATTAAACCCAGACTCGTTACTATTTAATGAAATTAATGAATTTGCTTGCTTGTTTTAACCTTTCGTTAAACTGGGAAATATCAGAATTATTGCCAAAACAATTACCAACAAAGCAACTTTATTTGATATAATAACATGGTTTCCTAAAATTAACAGAGAGAACTCCCTGCTTTTAACCACTGATGCAGTGCAGCTAGACTCAAAGCCTGATTGGACTCAAAGGAATTCACATTTTGAAGCCTTTGAAGATCAATAGGCACCCCTTTTCAAAAACTCTAAACCACCCACAGTGATGACTGCTCGCTGCCACTGACCTAAACGTGCAGTCAGCGGGCACAGGGGACAGACGGTCCACACTGAGGGCCGTGAAACCATCAAGGGGCTGAATGCCTTGGTGCTGATACCACTCTGTGCTAAACGGGAAGGAAAATTAGAAAACTGAAAAGTCTGTTTCTCTCTTCCTTCCTCTCCCGGTGGCAGCTTGTTTCACATGGTGTGACAGTGGAGCTCACATCCATCTCTTCATTCAAAAAAGTCACCTTTAAGGCATGTTATCTCTCTCTCCTCTTTTATCCAGCATACTTGGATCAAGTTTTGGTCATTACTCCTACGCCCCCTGTACTGGGGGAAGCACGTGATTCTCGCGCAAAATGCAAATGGAAAATGCATTTCTGAAACTAGTATTGCATCACCCTATCCATGCTACACACCTATGTGAAGCTAGGAGGCTCAGCTAGAAGCTCAAACCAACCATTTTTATCCACACCAAACAAACATCAAACACCAAGCATCTGATTGAGCTTATATCACAACATAAATCACTCTGTAATCATGGCTGCAGTTAGCATCCAGTTATCTGGATAAAACAATTCAATCATGTTTTTATCAACTTAGAAATATAGCAAAAATTCGATCTATGTTAACTTTTAAGGACACCGAGACCATTTTACACGCCTTCATCTCATCACACCTGGATTATTGCAACAGCCTTTTCACCCAAAAATCCATTGATCGACTCCAGACTGTCCAGAACTCAGCTGCCAGGCTTTTAACCAGAACAAACAACACCCTTCATTACACTGGCTCCCAGTGTGTTTTGGAATTGACTTTAAAATTCTATTGATAACTTTTAAAGCTCTTCATGGCCTCTCACCTTGTTATATTTCTGAACTTTTAGTCCCATACACACCAGCACGTACGTTGAGATCCTCGGGCAGAGGTCTGTTGTCTGTTCCAGAGTCTCGACTGAAAAGTAACTTCCTGCCCAAGGAAATCAGGTCAGCTGAGTCAGTGAACTCTTTTAAGGCCCTTCTTAAAACATACTTTTATAGGAGAGCCTTTCCCGATCTTATTTGACTTTATTTTATTCCTTTTATTTTATTTTACTAATTTTATATTTATCTTAAACATGTATTTTAGTCTTTTCAATGTTTTCTTGCTTTTATCTTGTATTGTTTTTGTATTATTGTCTTTACACTTGTTAAAGCACTTTGTAACTTGTTTTTGAAAAGTGCTCTACAAATAAAGATTATTATTATATTATTATTATCTCTAATCACAACATATCTGTAATGTTTAACCCCATGGTGGAAGGAGGAGACATGGACATGGAGTTCTTCACCTGGTGCTTCCATTTATTTTTTCCACCAGATACGTGGAAAGTGCAGTTGTGCAAGTGAATTATTACAAAAATATATCATAAATTAACAAAAACAAACAATGAGGAAACTAAGTATAAATTATTCAGATTATCATTACAAACTGATATTAAACAACACCCCAAAAAAAAGACACCCTATACCAGACCCTGACTACTGGGCTCTAGCACATGTGCCCTTCCAGGCCAAAGCTGTTCTCCCCAGAGGAGCCGCTGCCTCCTTCCTTTATACCAGAAGCCCCTCCTACAAGACAAACCAAAGTTAATTGACAATCAATTAAACACCGTTATGTTACCTCAACAGTCCAAAACATTTTTGGCTACATCAATACACAATATATCAACTATACAACCAGAAATGAAATGCTTTAAATTACATGCTAAACAAAGCTTCTCAAAACAGCATCTTAAGGTACTCCAGTACACCCCTCTGTACTGGCTCACACTTGGACCATTCCAGGTCTTCCCCCCTATAAATGACTCCACACTCCATCACTTTTTGTTTGCCACTTCGGCCCAGATCCCTGCTTGAGGATGAGAACAGGTGAATAAAACATACAAACATTTGGATGACCTTCGGTAAATCCAATGAGCTAAAATAAATGACTTGAAATGAACTGTGTATGTGTTGTATTTATCTAACCCTGATTTCAACTCTTCCGACTTGTACTTAAATGAACTGAAATGACAAGCCATGTGTCCATTGATGCTAGCCCATATGCTAAAGGTAATGCTAATGCTAAACGTCCTATGCTAATGCTCAGCTAAGGTTAGCTTAGCATGCTAAGACCAATACTACTGCTGGCTTAAATGAAGGCATGTGGTAGCCCCATGACAGTATCCTCATGTCTAACCTCTCAAACCAAAGCTAATCTCCCCTGAGATCAGCCATATCACGTCACTCTAATCACCAAAAGTACAGACAGCTGGATAAAAGTAACAACAAATGTGCCAATATACACATACAATTACAACCGTCCAAAAATCAGCTGATTTGTTTCTA